TCTTCTGTATCTTCTAATACCTTTTTAAAACTATGGTGAAACACAGTTAAAATATCTTTTTTAAAGTTCTATACTATTAATTTTAACATCTTTGTCATTTCCTTATCAGTTTTGATTGCATTTTCTCTGAAAGATTATATTTTCTCACTTCTTTGTGTGTCTTTTATTAGATGGCAGAGATTGTGACTTGTACTTTTTTGGATGCTTGATATCTTTGCATTCTTAGCAATATTCTTGAACTTTGTTCTGGGGTGCAGTTAAATTACTTTGGAACAGTTTGATCTTTTTGGGTCTTGATTTTAAGATTATCAGGTAGGGCCACATCAGTGTTTAGTTTAGAGCTAATTACCAACTATTGAGGCAAGACCCTGGGTACTCAAATGCCCTTTGAATTATGAGTTTCCTGTAGTCTGGGTGGTGGGAACAGGCCCCATGTGTGTCCTGAGTACTGTTACCTCTAATCCTTTGGGACATTATTTTTGGGGCCTTGGTTGTATTTTCACACTCATGCATTGATCTGTTGAATACTTGGAGGAGGATCCTCTGCAGACATCTGCGTTTCTGTCTCTGTGCAGGTTGGTCCTGTTACATACTTCGTACTTCCGTCTTAAGCCACATTAGTCTTCTTGGGTTCACAGATCTCTCTCATCAACTTGGGACTCAGTCCCACCCTGTCCAAGTTCTTTGAGCCAGTAAGCTTGGGCAATAATAGGCTCATCCCATTTGTTTTCTCTTTCTCAGGGATTAATGTCCCTTCAATGCCTGATACCCAGTGTATTGAACAGTATTGCTTTATAGATTTTGTCCAGTTTTGTAGTTGTTTTAGGAGGAGGGTAAATCTAGTCCCTGTTTTGCTAACTTGGCCAGAAGCAGACTTCCTCTATTATGTTGTTTAGCCTATTAAAAAATTAAATCCAAAAGAGAAAAGCAATCTCTGAAAATTGATACAAAAGCTAAAATAAATTAGCATAATTAGACATCAAGTTAATGTCATAACCACACAAAAAATAATTATTCCAAGTCACTTTAGAGCACGCAATTTTGTCTGTATTTCCTTATTGGTATATATTTTAAGAATGCATATGGATACAAAAGAACCTTAGACTTTATTTAGAAGTATAATTGTTAATGATAATTGTTATGATATTCTTTTAATCTGATTCTATATTAGAGCATAATGTAAATAAGGAATTGCCTTAATGTGATCAGGAATCCAAATCTTCATCAGAAGAGAAAAGATAAATATAATTTAAAAAGAAGTAAATTCTTATAATATTTACTTAGAAATGGAAATGTTAATGGGAAAACTTTTAATTTGTTTTCTTTTTAAAAATACTTATTTCCTGCCTTTGTCCATGGAAGAGGCATAGAAAAAATGACAATCCAAAGGTAATTAATGTACCAAGAGCCCAGATTTTGGACTCTAAACAGCATGTCCCACTAAAAGTCTGGGATTTCTTGGAGGAATGGCTGATTACACCGGTTTGGCCAAAATACAAGATGAGACTGGGACCTCACATTGTGCCCCAAAGCAAAGAGACTTTTAGTTGGTAATGGGTCATGAGAAAAAGAAATCTAGGACCTTCCATTGGCCAAAAATGGGATAGTTTGAGCATCAGTAAGAATAATAAATACAATTGAAACATTAAAGCTACACAAAATTCTATGAAATGAAAAAGAGAAAGAAAGCAAACATTTTGAAAGCATACATGCAACTGAATTACACACCAATGAGAAATAAATGGAGGACCAACGCTTTACTCTGAAAACTACCACTTAAAAGGAAAGAATTAAGCATTTATTCCGCTTTTCAACATAGACTGTGTTTCTAAATAGCTAAGAGAGAGTAAATCTTCTTCACAGAAATCTTCCAGTTAACTTTTAATCTTATACCTACTGAAACTAGAAAGCATATATAAAAATTAAGATTATGCCACTCTTTATCAAAGGCATAAGTGTAAATGTCGACAGAATAAAACTAGACAGAAGTTTTTACCTGATTGTTCTTATGTAAATGCCATATGTTAAGTTTCCATTTTTAAAGAGAAAAATATAGCTATGACAAATAGGCAAAACATTTCAAACCTAAGAATCTGATATCTCTTTTTATTCTATTGTAACCATTTGTGGGTAATTATGCTGCTATCCCTGTTTTATCAGCACATCGGTGAAGAAAGATGATGGTGTATTTCATCACATCAAAAGGCCAAAAAAAAAAAAAAAACCAAACTTACTTGGAGGTCCTGAGCAAATCTACACTGTTCCTCATGGGTTTAGAGGTGACGGTGGCCCAGGCTGGGGGCAGTAACCAAAGAAGATGATACATGTGTGCATGTGAGCATGTGGTCAAGTAAGATAAAAATGAAAGATTAAAGAGAAGAAATATTCTTTGAACATAGCTCAACCATATTTTGAGAAATTCTAGTAGCAAAGGTCTATATGAAATAAAAGTCAGATATGGAAAGAATTAATGAGATAAAAATTTCAAAACATTTCAAAATATCAAATATAAAAACTTTTCTAGAAACTTCCTGGAAATAAGGCGATATAATGTTTCAAACACAGGAATTTTGGGAAGCCAATTGAGGACTAGCTATATGACTAGTTTGGACATGGTACATGACTTCTTACTTGACTTTTTCTGGGCATCAGTTTTCTCATCTGTAATATAGAGCTATCAATTACACCTACAACGTAGGCTTGTAGAGAGGATTAAATGAGTTGATGCATACAAGTCCTTAAAGACTACCCTATATCAAGCTTTTAAAAATGTTAGCTGAGATTATTTCTTTGACTTATGGTTTTGCATAAGCCTAACAACTTGCATATATATCTGGGTGAAGTAGTACATTACCCATTCACACTTTAAGGGCTGGAGTATTAAATAAAACAAATTGAGTCTTTAAGAGTGAGGGTAAGGTCACTTGAAAAGGAAAAAGGGTGGGGCATGCTGGGCAAGGGTAAAATTGGGGCTGCTGCAAAGACAGGTGGTCTTTTAGTGTTAAAGACAAAAATGACCTTCTGTGCAGTTTTGCTGCTAGCGTGCCTGGTTTTCAGTCATGTAAGACTCTCTGCTCAGTAGTGACATCAGTCACGAACAGGAGAATCAGTTCCTAGAGCTAGCTAGATTATTGCTCAGATAATTGGAATAAAGAAGACCTCCTTCTGTCTTTCTCATCAGTGGGTCTTTCAGTTCTTCCTGTTTCAAAATCACTCTCTCGCAAAAGGCCAAGTCACCTTTAATGCCACATTTACTACTTAATTTGCTGCTTCCTCTCCTCCTCCCTGATTGGCTCCCTGGAGTATAACTGGATGCAAGATTTCATTCTCTGATGTTTTCATGTTGAACAATGGGAGTCAGGGAATTTCCTCAAGAAAGGACTGCGGAAGCCCGATGGATATCATTGATCTTAATGGTGATCTTAATAGAGAGCTTTGATATTTTTGAACACGACTTTAGTGAGCAGAAATGATAGCTCATAGACTGAGGGGGCAGGAAACCTTGTTAGCCTAGATAAGAACAGATGGCATATTATTTAAGTAAACACAGCCATCCCAACTACAGTCCCTGATGACCTGCCATCAGGGAACTCTAAGGATTGTTGGAAGCCACCATAAGACTAATAGCTGCCATTTTTATGCCAAGAAGAAAACACTATAATGCTTCTTTTTTTTTTCATCACATACGAGAAAGAGAACCAAACTAATTATTGACTAATAAATTCTAGACTGAAAAGGCTGTATAATAAGTCATCCAAAAATCAATTTGAAGACACCTACAAAAGAACAGGTCACCGGCATTATTACAAACAGGTCTGGACTGCTTTAATCTCCTTCTACGACAGAATGGCAGGGTTGCTGGATGGAGGAGAGAAAATGGCTATAATCTATCTCGAGTTCAGCAAGGTGTAGATCCTGGCTCATATGACATACTCATTAATAATCCTGGCATGATCGTCTCCATCAATGTTTTCTTTGCAGTGCTCTGACCTGTGTTTGCTAGCCTCTGGAGCTCTTCTGTAGTTTCATTTCTATGTTGATGAAGCCAGGCATTGGGTCCTAGGAACGTCCTATATTTGATCAAGCTGCGCCCTCAGTAGGGAGGGTTTTGTTCACCTTACTTCCTTGGACAAGGGCATTTTTCTCATACTTCCACACTTCAGCACAAACCACTGAGTTCTGAATCATCCACTGTTTCCTTGTGTGGCCATGCAGCTCTGTTTAGACTTCTCTATTCAATTAGAGACCCATGCACTCTTGACTATATCAATTGTTTAAAAATCATACTATCTTTCAGGAGATAATTAATGTGTCAGTGTAGTTACTGGCTCTGTATTGGTGGATGAATTCTGTGGATATGGTTTACTAAGAAGACGAAAATGCTCTGGGTTAATAAGAGATAAAAAAAAACACGTGATAGTGCATTGCATTATATCAAGTAGAGGCAGCATAGATGATTCATAATAACTAAGAACATGAACTCTGGAACCTACTTCTTTGAGTTTCAATCCTTACACTGTACTACCCCATTAGCTGTGTGTCCTGGGGTAACTTGCTTACCTTCTCTGTGCCTAGTTTCTTATTCACATTGTTTTCAGTGGCATGCCTTTTCTCTTTGTTTACTCCACACCCCCTTTAAATAAGAACTATTTAGTCAGTTTCATGTGATAAACATTGAATTTATGAATGGACAGATGGATAAATGAACTATAAACTTTGATCTCAGCTGGGCTACTACACCATTACAAAATGTTTACATTGGTTGAGTTTGACAGTCCTTGTACAACATTACAAAGTAATCAAATTTATGCATTAAAGGCACAAATTAGAATCATTTGTAGCATTATTTCAATAAAACTTTATTAAGGTCACTTTTATAACTCACTTTGTTCCTAAGTTTGAGGCTGCCATTGTAATGGGCAGCCAATTCTCAATGATGTTATAGGTGCCACACAGTTCAGAGACAGACACATCCCTCAGGGAAGTTTTGCTTAGGCATTTTCTTTTTATTTCATTTATAATTAAAAGCAGTTTTCACTGAGTAACTTGTCCTAGTTATGCCTATTTTTAAGCCTCTTTTTTTTTTCTTATACACAAGAAAGATTGCTTCAATAAGTGTGAACCAAGGTACACTCCTGTAGGTTTGAAATTAAGAAGCCTATAATGAATTAGAGAATCTTTGTGGTTCTTGTGGTTTCTACAGGTTGCAAACTTGATAAAGAAAACCTTTGAGTTTATACATCCCACTGCCCTATTCTGATGCAAAAGACCAACTGTGAGCAAGTACAACTTTCCCTTAGCATAGTAAAATACACTTCCAGTTAGTTAGCATGAGAGCCTTTCTCCCAGGGATGGGAACACCTGATGTCATGAAGTTCCAAAGTGCATGATCAGAGAGGGTTCTTTGCTCTGGTTTAGTTTCCCACTTCCCGTCAATCATTTTCTTAGTCTGTTTGAGCAGCTGTAGCAAAGTACCACAGACTGGTTAGCTTTTAGACAACAGAAATGTATTGCTCACAGTTCTGGAGAATGGGCAGTCCAAGATCAAGGTGCCAGCAGATTTGACGTCTGGTGACATCTGGAGCCTTCTTCTTGGTTGGTAGTTGGCTGTCTTCTCTCTGTATCCTCACATGGTGGAAAAGATGAGCGAGCACTTGTGTTCTCTTTTATAAAGGGCACTAATCTCATGCATGGGGGCTCCACCCTCATGAATGACTGAATCACCTACCAAAGGCTCCATCTTCTAGTACAATCATATTGTGGGTTAGGATTTCAATATATGAATTTTGGGTGGACACAAACATCCAGTGTGTAGCTCTCACCCACATTGTTATTTAGGCATGCTTCTTTTCCATGGGTTTGCTTGAGGCTGGAAATATACATTAGCAAATACATTTCCAGGAAGACCGTCTCAAGCACTGCTAGAGTTTTAATTCCTGAAAGTACTAGAAGTATTTCTCAAAACAAATGCTTTCAGAATAAATAAAGCTTCAGAATATCCAGATTGGAATCAGGATATATAAGGGCTTTCTTTTTTCTTAATCTTATTTAAAACTCTTCTTCTTCAGCATTCTCTCTGGTGTCGAAAATGGAGTCCAGCCTCTCTTGGGAAGTCGGTCTGGTTAGGGTGAACGCTGCCTGTTGTTGAAAGTCAAGAAGACCAAAAGTTAGTGGGAGCAACAGTAGGGGCTTGTGGGTCACCTGGACTGATCAGAAGGTCTGCGGTGAGGGCCTGGCCTGAAGCAGAGCCCGTGACAGGATGCAAGGTTGGGACGTAGTGAATTTGGGTTGGATTGCTAAACCAAGGTCAGGAAGGGCGGAGGCAGAGGAAGTGACAGGATTCTGAGATCCACTTCAAAGAATGAAGGGCAAGAGAGGCGGCCCTCCAGTGTGAGGCTGTGCTCAAAGATCTCGAATATTTAACTGTGTGCCCAGACAGCCTCCCTCTGTTCTGACCACAGGGCTTTTTAACATTATTATGCATATTAGCTTTTAATTTTGAGAACTACACACATAAAGATTGAGAAAAATGAATATTTTCCAAATATGTTAGCAGGAAGTAGTATATATTAAAGTCTGATGAACCTGGCCTTTCAACTTAACACAGTAATAAGAATGTGGTGTGTACAAATGCGCCCTGTGGTATACTTTTATTAGCCTGTTTAAAATTCAGTTACAATCTCCCCACTCTGCTATGCAACTCTATATCATGGCAGATCTGCTCCTGTTTAACACGGATGACGGTAGGACAAAGTTTGAGGTCCCATAGCCGAGGTGTGGAAGAATTTCAGACTAATGTTACTGTGTTCTTTTAGTGCCCTCTGTGGGCTCCCGTGAAGCCAGAGAGACTTGCTAGGAGACCAGGGGGGAAATGATATAAATGATAAGTTATAGACTTTATAATAACTTTAGAGCAAGCACCCTACAGTAGGAAGTAGAGTACAGTGGTTATATGGGGAAAGCTGCACTACTAGCTAGCTATATGGCCCTGAGAAGACCCTAAACTCTCAACATGGCAGGTGCAACACAAGTACAAAGGGGAGAAGGGCAGTACCTCTTATGGAGGGTGGGTGTCAGGATTAAATAAGATCAACTTTGTCAAGTGCTCAGCGTGGCACCTGGCACATAGTAAGTCCTCAATAAACATGGCCATTGGGAAGAGCTGAGGATCACTGGATGGCTGAATATGTTAAAATATATATTTTGTGTATATATAAAATATAGTGAATAGTATATATAACATATATATCTAATATATATGTAACATAAAACAGTTTAGCAATTTGTAGTAGTATTTCCAAAATAGCATATAATATAATATGATGGTGGAAAAGAAGAAATAAATGGTGGGAGGGAAAGAAAAAAATGCTTCTCATAAGAACTTCTAATTCCTGTGCCTTCAAAAAGAGAGAAGTTGAGGACTGTGACTTGTAGTCCCAATCAGAACTAAAAAGTCCTGAAGTCTATGGAAATTTAAAAAAAAAAATACATTTTGAAATAAATGAAGTAGGACTTCCTTGATTTTCATGGAATTGTTGTGAGACATGTTGAAGTGGAGATAAAAACAAAAGATTTTCTAAGTAACCTGGCTAGTAAAGGTTGAATTAAATTCTTCAATTTCTGAAAAGGAGAAATGGTGCATCATTAAGAACTTCCCATCCAGATCAAGAACTGTTTTCTTTTTTCAATAAAAACAATGGGCAAATTATTTTTATATTAGAGGTAGTATTTACTGTCAGGTATTGTTGTCAATTAAAAGTGGGAAAAATAGTTGAAATGTCTGACCCTTCTCTTTGAAGTATTTAGATTTTGCAGTGTATCATTAGAATGCGGGGATTAATTTTTTCAGCCTGTGTTGGGAGGGTCTTTCTGTAGTAGGTCATTGCAAACTGGTTTTCCTCTTTTGGGAGAGTTTACTTTTCTTCCACTGATGCTTGTAAGGGTCTATTGGCTGGTCATAGGTAAAAGATTTAAATGAATAGAAGAGGTTTGAATGTGAGGATGTTTTAAAGGTTTTTATTTATTTATTCATTAGCCGTTTACTTAGAAATAAATATAGATTCACACAAAGTTGCAAAGCTAGTACTATACTTCCCACTCCCTGTCCATGGTTACAATAGCAAAACAACAGTTTTATTTTTTGTGAACGCTTCCTAGAAAAATCTGAGAACACCTGTCACCTACACATATGCATGCCCACACACACAGGCACTTACACACACACACACACACACACACAGACACACACACACACACACACACACACAGAACAGCTATTTCATCTAAGAGCTTCAGCCTGGAGGCACCTTCCATCAATAGCAGTCTACTCACCGGTCGGAGGCCGGGAAGCTTCTAATGGTGACAGCAGACCGCAGTCCTCCTGGAATCAGGTCACGCCCAGGAGGCTGGAGACAAATGGAAGAATAACCTGAGGTTATGACCAAGACCCCGGTATCAAAGCCTCCACTATCAATGACCAAACAAAACATCCTGACAGATTGGAAGAACATTTATATGATGTATAGGTCTTTATCCATTATCCCTTTCCACTCTCATAGAGAAAAGGGCATAATATTAAGCACAATAGCTCTTAAGAGGTTTTGGTCCTTAAATTCCATCATAAAACAAAGTACATACTTGGTACTTCTCAGTCAGCTTGTATTATGTCTGCGTTACCTTCAATATGGGTACTCTGTGAGTAGGAAATAGTTTTGGGTCATGCTTCTAAAAGTGTAATGCCTTAGTAAAAGCAGTCTGGAGCTATGGTTGGCCGGAGGCGACGCGATGACATGTGCCGGGGTTAGTCCACTTCCTGACACTTCTCCCCCCAGAGGCCTTGCCAGGCATCACTAATCAAGTACGGCATCGTTTCACACTGAGCCAAAGTACCATCATCACACGGGCTTCAGGAAGCAGCCACCGGCTGATTACACTTGGCCTTGGAAATGGACCCTACCGTGGGGTTATTGGTATTAGGGGAAGGGAAAGGCTTCCCTTTGAAGTCAGTTTCGAAAGCACTTTGAAGGAACTGAAGGAAGAAGATTGGACAAAGGAAAAGAGTCGAACATTCCATGGATAGGTGACAATTTTATTAGTAACCTTGGAACGTTTTTTCATAACTATATCCCCAGACCTGGAACAGTAATGCATTATGTAGTTGTTGCACAATATATTTTTGCTGAATGAATCAATCCCTCTTTTACCCACCAAAGAGTGATATCAGAGAGGAAGTCCAGCTCGTTCTTTGAAGCAGGTTTTCATGGGAGGGGAGCCTCTTAAGTGGGAAGGTGTAGACTGGGTCTGCTTCTTAGTTTTGTATGTCTGTAAATATAATTCTGTAGTTCTCAGTTTCTAGTATCATTGTTCTCCCAGTCACAAAAGTTTGGAATCTCTTGGTTTGTCCTTCTCCTCCACATGGCCAATCAGTTGCTAGGTCTGCCCTCACAATAAATCTCATTTTCATCTTTCAAATTGCGTATGTCTCCCTGCACTGAAATCATAACACATCATGTCTTGTTTTAATACATTCGCTACTTAAATTCTCAATGGCCTGATTTTCCTTTGCTTAAAACTATTTTGTACCTTATAGAAGATGAATATTACAAAAATGATATGTTTCATTATAAAAATTTTATGATTATAGAAAAATTAGAATAATAATTATGTAAGAAATATAATATAAAAATCATTATTAATCCTACCAACCAGAAATGACCAGAGTTGCATGTGATTGTATTCTAATAACTTTTTTCTTTGCTAATGTACTTTCTTTGTTTAACAAAATTTGTTTATATTATGCATATTTATTGTAGCATGCTTTATCCTACTTAAAATACAGTAAATATGTCTTATACATTTTGTGTGGTAAACATTGTTGTCTGAAGGGTATTTCATCTTTAAGGATAATGAATGACTTAATAACCATTCCCATACTGATAGACATTTCGATTTTATACAATAAAGAACACTGAAATAAATACTACTGTTTCACTAACACAATGAATAAATTGTTCAATGAATTACTCAGCATAATTTCTAAAAGATTATTTGTATAATTTATACAAATTTTCTTATAATTTTATGTCTTATAAGACATGAAAACTTTTAAGTTTCATATAACACTGCCTGGCAGAGAAATGAGGTCACTTAAACTCCCACCAGCAAAGTGTAAAGAACTGGGCCTGGCGCGGTGGCTCAATTCTGTAATCCTAGCACTCTGGGGGAGACAAAGCAGGAGATTGCTTGAGGTCAGGATTAGTGACCAACCTAAGCAAAGGCAAGATACGGTCTCTACTAAAATAGAAAAAATTAGCAGACGTCTGTGGTGGCGCATGCCTGTAGTCTCAGCTACTCAGGAGGCTGAGGCAGGAGGCTCACTTGAGCCCAGGAAGCTGAGGTTGCTATGAGCTAGGCTGAATCCATGGCACTCTAGCCTGGACAACAGAGCAAGATTCTGTCTCAAACAAATAAACAAACAAACAAAAAAAGTGTAAAGAACTGGCAATTCAGTAGATAATTAAATAAAAAATCAGATACGGCTGAAAAAAGGATTGATAAACTGAAAGATAAATCTGAAGTAATTACCTAGCACAGAGAATGTAAGGGGAAAATACTGAAGAGAGGTTAAGAAATATGAGAGATAGAATAAAAAGCCCAAGACATACTGCTGAAAATTTTCCAGAATCAGGGAAAGCTATAAATCATTGAATGAAAAATCACAATTAGGAGTAAATAGGATTAAAAAAAAATGAAAAGAGTAAAAGACAAAATATTAAAAATAATCTGAGATAAAACAATTCACCACCACTGGAATATGACAACTAGGTGTAACAGTAAACTTGTCAACAGAAACAACAGAAATCAAAAGATAATGGAATCATACACTCCAACCTTTGAGGGAAATTGAATTTTTTATTTAATAAAACAATTATTCAAGTGTGGGGTTAAAATTTTAAAGTGAGAGATTTTAGCACCTAACATTCTTCACCAAAAGTAAAATAATGAAGTATAAAGGAATCATTTTAAAGAATAATTATCAAGCTAAGAAAAGTGGTTTGCATGTGAATAAATATTAGGAAAATCTCATACCTAAAACAATAATAATAATCATAATTGCTTTTGGGAGCTGAAAAGCAGGCTAAAACTAAAATACCAGGTAATAAAATTTAAAAGGGTAAAAAATATTTGGAATTAAAGATTTCTAAAGCCTTTTTATTTTCAGAAAGATGGTAAATATATTGATTAAATTAAATTTTGTTCATTCAATTTGACCAATGAAAAACTTTAGCATAATTCCTAGTTCAAATGAAATGGAAGTTAACTTAAAAAGTAGAGGGCAAAAGAATCTAAATAAAATAACACAAATCCTGTAAATTTAAATATATACATGTTTTAGGGCTAAGTGATGTCACCTTAGAAAACTTGGATGCAAATGTAAATAAATAAATAAGATATACATTTATATATATATATAATTTTTATTATAGCATTGCTTGTAGTAGTGAAAAGCTGAAGATTAAGTGGATAAACTGGGATTTACTCATAAAATTAAATACTATACATAGTTAAAATAAATGAACTATATCTGCATACATCAACATGGATAAATGCTCAAATTATAGAGTTTTAAAAGTACATTATAAAGAAAATGAGAAGTATGACACTATTTTTGTAAAATTTTCAGACAGAATACTATAATACCCTCTACATGGTATAAAAAATGTAAAGTACAAAATCTGAGAAACATAGTCTCTAGCTTGAAAATACTAGCACCCTCTGGGAGTTAAACAAAAGAATTAGAGCTTTAGCTACATAAAGCACTTTAAAAATATTAATTTAAAGGAAATATAGTAATATCTTTTAAATGTGGCACAACAGATACATGAATGTCTGATATTTTCTGAACTTTACCGTGTATTCAATACATTTTAGACTTAAAAATAACATTTAAAAGAAAGCCTTTCTCATACCCAAATGACATAAGTTAGATAACTGTTTTTAAACAGGTGGCTTCAAATAGTTTGCTACTCAAAAACTACTTAGCCAATACTTACACATTTAAAGCAAATGACATCCTTTTTAGTGGCTTGGCTAAAGACTAAATAAACATTTTTTCCAATGATACTCAAATTGTTCAAAACCAATTTTAGAATTCGTCTTCTGTACTTTCCTACAGTACTTTGTTATGATGAGTTACCATGAAAACTCTATTATTTTATCTTTAAATCTTGCGTGTGACTTCAAGAGCACTTACTCCTTCAATCGCTGTTTCTGATGAATGAGTTAACGTCAGGCCCTACACAGGCGCTTGGCACTCAATGCTGAGTATGATGTGGTTCCTGCCCTCTCGGGGCTCACAGCTCAGGAGACCACGTTCTGAGCATGAAATTCACTGTAAAAAGGGAGCCAAAGTGATCAGGAGGCTAGTGTAGTTTTACATATAAGCAAAAAAAAAAAATTGTAACACATAGTCCAAAAGTCCGAAGAACAACAAGAAAGAAATGTCAAGGTATATGAAGATTACAGGATTAGAACGAAACAAAAGAAAACAAAAAAGCTATAATGTGAAGGGCTTAGTGTCCATAAAGAGAGCTGGAGAGAGACAGAAAACACAGGGAAAGACATACGGATTATCATACGGATTATCGTAGAGAGAGACGCTGCGTCTACTAGTAGCAGAAATCAGGGCTCAGTGCAATAAGAAACAATTCGTAAAGTGCTTTGAAAGACCATGTCTAAGAAAGGTAGCAGTGATAATGAGAAAGACCAAAAAGAAAGATGATCTTCCACGATAGCTTTTGAATTCCAGTGAAATGGCAGATATAGGGCCCCGCCATCCCAAATGCCATCTACTTGGTACACACTGGGCGTCCTAGTTCCAATTAAGTAGGCTGAATTCTCTGACGTGTGCAGAGCTCAAAAGGACAGACTTCCAGCACTCTCTTAAGAGACTTCATTAGAACTTTATCTTTCCGATCTGGCTACAGGAAACCTTGAGCTCCCAGCACATGATGGAGTGCTGCTCGCAAAGAAGACAACCATTTTTAACTCAGTGTCTGGGAATCTGTTCCAAAGCAAGATGGAAAACGCTTCCTGAGAGCTTCAGTTAAAACAGTGTAACAAATGTTTCAGCAAATCTCAAATATTGTAATTTATCACGTTTATCCCCCAAAGATATCTGCAATAAAATCCCGGAGCGTGCAAGATGAACGCACCGGAGCGCGCAGGGCAGTGATTAAGAGCGTGGGCTCCCACCTCAGGCTGACCTAGGCTTAAATCTTGCTTCGGCCGCTTACCAGGGGCGTGACCCCGAGCTCACCTTCCACTCTGAGCCTCAGTGTCCCCATCTGTTAGGCATGGCTAGCAGTGTCTCCCAGGACACGTTTGTTTGAGGGAAATAGGTTGGGCAGTTAACATACCTGGCACCTTGCAGGCAGAGCAAGCACTCACCCGCTCCCGGCCGTGGTGTCGCTAACAGCAGCAAGGATGGTGTCGCAGGGCTGTGCAGGTGGTGATGATCACCGGGTCACCAGCACCACCATCCTACAGGCTTGACTTTGCTGCAGGAATCCAGCTCCGTGCAGACGCTTCCCCGGCCTGCAGAGTGCGCCTGGTCCCTCTGCCAAAAGCTGTCCTTTTAGCTTCATTTCACATTTGTGTTTGGTTCGTGTTGCCTCCAAACTTTTGCTGAAGTGCTGTGCACTTAGCACCTAGAGCTGAAGCTAAAAAAAACTGTCACCCAGCAGGAGGAGCAGCTTTCAGGAAAATACTGAATCATGGCGTATGGAGTGATAAATGAACAATAATTATTAATAAAGATTAAACTTATAATTAACTCCCCAAACCCTTGTGCATCTGTTTCTGCGATAGGGAGACACCAGGCCGTGCAAGCAAGGTGCCCTCTCCCTAGACAGTATTTGCATAGCTGAGTTGCTTATTTTGCTCTTCAAGGTGAATGTATCTGATTTCATCCAATGTATGTTTATCTCACAGAAAGGAGTCTAATTTTCTTAATAAAAATAGAATTGTTGGGGACAAAAGAACTGGTGCCTGTAGCAAATACACATTTTGAGAAAGGCAGAAAGAGAAGTGGGGAGGTCTCCTGCATACCTATCTGTGACCCTTATTTTGTGTGTCACAGCTGTATTCCTTAAAATGAGGTGGCAGCAACTGTTACCACGTCGACTGTGAGAAGGAACTGGTGAAGAAGACACTGTGAAGGCAGAACTGTCCAAGGGTGACCAGAGATAACAAGGGGAGTAAATAACAGCAGTGAATCACCTAAGCAGAATAAGGGCATGTCCCCCCTCGCACCCACCTTCCACACGGTCTAGTTGCCTGAATTTAATAAATTGGAGTAAAAAGCTGGATTCTAAATGCTATACCAAAAGAAAAACAAAACAAAAAAAGCCACTCAGCACTAAATGGAAATACAGAAAATCAGAAAGCCAAACCTACTTGGCAGAGGATCTCAACCCTGCCCCCACATCAGAAGAATTACTAAGGTTGCTTCTGAACGTCCCATGCCTGGGGGTCCCCCACAGAGTTTCTGACCCTTAAGCAATTCTAGGATGTATTGAGGGTTGAGAACCATGGTGTTAGGTCCTTTTATGATAAACTATTAGTTAGTATTGATGGATTGGTTTATGAGGAAATGTATACTTTTCTTAGTGGGTTATAACAGAGATTTTCCTGTTTTAATATATTAATGTTCTAAGCAATAAGAAAAAACAGGCTATGTTCTCCCTCATCAAGATCAACAGCTTTAAGGACAAATTTCACCTGGAAAAAAAAAGGCTTTTCTTATGGATAAATGCGTGTACAGAGGTGGGGAGAGGGTTGGGGTTGCCATATGAGAACTTCCTGCAGAGGTTTGTAAAGTTTGAATTTGTGGCATTGTCCTCTCCCCCAAAAGGCCTAATGGAAACCTCCAGGCACCCCCAGCAGGGGTGTGTGATTGCGAAGCCCAGGCACCTCACTAGCTCTCCATCCACTTGCGCTCCTCGGCTGACTGTGGTCTTGCCGAGGTCTTCCCTGGAGTGCTGAAGCCCTGGCGTGAGAGGAGAGAAACCGGACAGTGCTGCCAACTTTTGCACGTGGCTGGTGCACTTTCCCGTTGGCTCTGGGACTCAGCCACCTTCAACCTCGCTGTGACTCTGGGATGGCTGGAGCTGGGCCAGCTGGCTACCCTTGGACACTTGGCCATGTAGAGAGACCAGGGGCCCCCGAAATTTCAGAAGTGCTGAGTTCACAACAAAGAAAAGACTAGAAGGTATGAATTCATCTTAGACAAATACCCCCTGGGCTCCAGGGCAATGTAGATTTGCACCCCCAAATCCTCTACTAATTTCTTAATTATGAAGCTATCCAGTGATTCGCAAGTTGAACTTTGCTCTCTCCACTGAGTGAAATTTAAGAGAACTCTCAGTTATTCTTGCCATAGGTTTATCTTCTAGAATTTCTCCTTGGAGAAACATGGATAAAATTTCTCCTTTCCATGTTCCTTGAGGGTCTTCAGAGAGCCTATTTCCTACATTTTTATTGAGCTCTTCCACCTCTGTATTGAAGGGTGAGAAGTTATCACTCATTTACTCAAAATAGCTATTGACTGATTATTTGGTCATTTACCTATGAAGATAAGGCTCTGTTTCCTTTAACAGTGATAATAGCATTCATATTTTTCTAATTCCTGTTTGAGGGTTCACAGAGATGAGGTGAATAAGTCTAAGCATGTCTTTAACAAAATTTCTTGAGAATACTTGTTGGTCAAGTCCTCATGTAATTAACTAGGCAAATACAATGCCTCTGTTAGGTTTCTAACCTATCAACTTGCTATAGGTTCACTTGATGAAAGGTTGTTCCATGCCACCTTATCAATAGAGTATGAATTATAGGTAATCCTCTCATCAGAGGTAAATTCTTTACATTTTAAAAATATGAATCCTACCTGAAAGAAAGCTTCTATTTTCAAAGAGGAGTCTTTCTGAATACTCTTGCATCTGTAGTTATTCTCAAATGCTCTAGAGAAAGCAAACAGTTGTTGAATCCTATGCAGAACTCAGGGATCAAAAATCAGTATTTAGACATTTCATTTTAGCCCAGCAGGGCCACCCCAATGACATTTCTGGGGACTAGAATCCAACTTCCAGTAAATTAGCAAACTTACACCACAAATAAAAATATTCAATTGAATATTTATAAGAAATAAAAAATTGAAGGTATATTGAAAAGGGAATAGCTTTTTATTGTTGAAATGCCTAATGCTTCAAGCTAATGGTTTAAACTGAAAATCAGGATGTTGTTGGGAGAAGAGAGTAATTAACATTTTATGAGGAACTGTGCAATGGTGTTTGTTATTGTTAAAGGAAAAAGAAAAGCAAATACTTCCCAAGTGCATGTTGTTTATTGCGATGTCCAGTAACAGAGATTTTTAAGGGTGTGTGATGGTGTACAGGGAAGAGCACTGGACTAGGAGTCGGGAAACCCACCTGATTTGGCCAGCAAATGTCTTGATCTTGGTTTTCTTTTCTGTAAAATGAGCAAGATGGGTAGGCTAGATGTTTCTGGCACCTGTCTGGTCACATGCCAAGCCTCTTCCTCAAAGATTCTGATTCAGTGGGTCTGGGAGATCCCCTTTTAGCATTCTCCTGTTAGATCTCACAGGGTTAAATGCCACAGTTTAGTGGCTGAGGCACATTAGAATTATATATTCTAATACTATGTCCTAGAAACTGGTGAATCTGTAATTTCCCCAATTTTTAGATCTGTTAATGCCACGACCATTCTCCCTGCACCCAGTTTTAAAAGGCCGTGTCCAGCCACGACCCAGCCTGTCAATTCCTTTATATCTCATCTCAGGCCGGCCTCAGTCATTCACCTCCCCTGTTCACCTCCTGACTACAGCCATCTAAATTATTGCAATGCCCTTTTGTCTAGCCTCCCAGCTTCCATTTTATTTCTTCTTCAATTCATCCTCAGTGCTGCTCAAATTAACCTTTCTGTTCCACAGTTCTTATTCTGGTAATCACACTTTTGGCTAATTATCTCTATAATGGTGTCAAAATTCCTTAGCCGGAGTTGGAAGGCTCTCAATAATTTAAACCCACTTAGCATTACAAATTATTTTATTCTATTTTTTTTGTTATTGTTCATATCCTATGATCAAGCCAAACTAGTATTATTCTTCTATCATGTGAGTGAGCTCATGCTCCTTGTGTCTGATTTGTCCTACTCTCATGTATGCCAGGGAATCCCTACCATTTTCATTTACAAAAGAATAATAGAGGAGATAAAACTACATCATCCTATTTGCCCAACACAATTATTTAAATTTTTATAGAGGCCTTTTTCTTTTAGTTTTACATATGCATATGTATTTTCATAAATGTAGTCAATTTTATATATATTTTTGCATTCTCATTATAAGCCTTTACCATTTGGCTGCATAATTTTCATAGTTTTCATTTTTAATAGTTGTGTAATTTTCCATCCAACAGATGTGCCATAATTCCATTAAACATTTTTCTGTTAATGGTCATTCTGCTTGCTTCTAATTTTTAGCTATTCTAAATAATGCAGCAATGTTTAGCTATTATAAATAATGCTGCAATTAATAGCTCCATGTATAATGTTCTCTTTTGGGTTTATTACCTTTGGATAACTTTCCAGGAGTGGAATTACTAGGCCAAAGATATAAAATTTTTATGGCTTTTTGATATACATTGACAAATTATTTTCCAAAACAGTTATACCAATTTATACTGCCACCAATAATGTATATGAGTGTACTATTTTCATTACAAACTTGCTGGCTCAACACAAAACAAAACTATACTTCATTAATATATTAATATTTCATATTTTAGTACATATTTTAGGAAATGTAATTTTTTTATATTTTAAGTATTACATTTTCTTCTTATGTAAATCTTGTTTATATTATTTTCTGGCTACATTTGTAAATTTGGAAAGGTCATGAGCCACGTCAGTCTTGTTTTCCGCTCTATGGTAGAGCTGAGTCCTGTTCGTGGTGCATAGGGAATACTCAGTATTATTTGTGCTGTAAATAAAGACTTATTTATCTTTTGAGGTTTTAATATTTTTTACCAATCCATATGAGCTCTTAATAGAATATGGGTTTTAACCATAGTTATCATAAATATTTTTCACTTATTCTAGTTTAATATTGTTTTAGAAGACAATTTGTAGTAGGAATTGTTGCTATATCCTTTATGCTTGCTTATATTGCATCTATAGAGATGCTAATGTCTAAATTCAAGATTTTATTTATTTTTGTATTTTTTTGTTAAAGTTTCCTTTTGGGGATGAATTCTAACTATTCCTGAATCAGGGCCTATCCTCAATGCTGCCTTTTCAGCTTCTACATGAGTGCTGGACTATTTTGGTTTGGATCCCACCTGGAGCCTCAGCTTTGCTTCTGTATGTAGGACTGGTTTTTTTTTTTTTTTTTTTTCTTTACCTAGGCAGGAGGGATTTAAATTAATCCAGCTAACACTTTGAGATTCAGGATTAAGTCAGCATTGCTGCTATTTTTGCCATAAACTTTTATTTCAGATATAATAACAGAGCTTCTGCTTTGGTTGGTCCCATGCTGTGTACCTGATATTTTAATATGATTATTTTGATAGAGGGACATTTTGATAGGGATATTTTTATATGGCCTAGAAAAATAAATCATTAAATTTTAGGTACATTTCAATTACCAAGAAGGGGTGTTTAATAGATACTTTCAGGCCATGCCTTAAGCCCCATTCCATTTGTCTGTTACCTCACTGATCCCTGACACTCCCCAACTCTGGGCATCACAGCAAAATCAAAATGAAGATTAGATTTTAAAAATTCAGCTTTTTCAATGTCTATTATAATCTCAGTAATTGAATTTGTGTTTTGTGTTTCCACAGTTGAAATTTTTTTAGTATCATAACCCACCTGTGTTAGTCTGTTTCTCCAGAGATATACATAGATATACATAGATATATAAAAGGAGTTTTCTTGTAGGAATTGGCTCATGCCATTGTGGAAGCCAAGAAGTCCCCCAGTACTGTCTGCAAGCTAGAGAGCAGGAAAGCCAGTGGTGTGATTCAGTGTGGGTTCAAAGGCCTAAGAAGGTCTGAGAAATGGTGGGGAGGGTACCCAAAGGGAGGGGGCACTAGTACAGGTTCTGGAGTCTGGTGGCCTGAGAACCAGAACCTCTAATATCTGAGGGCAGGAGAAGAGGGATGTCCCAGCTCAAAAAGAGAGAGAAAATTCACTTTTCAGAGGCCTTTTCCTTCTGACAGCTGCCCAAATTGGTGAGGGTGGATCTTCTCTACTCAGGTTGCTGATTCGAATGCTAATCTCTTCTGGAAACACACTCAGAGACTTACAGATACACCTAGAAGTAATGTGTTAACAGCCCTCTGGGCATCCTATAACCCAGTCAAGTTGACACCTAGAATTAACCATTATGCTGTCTCAGTCCAGGAGGATCCTTCTGATTCTCGTCTGTGTCTCTGCCCATCAGGCATCCCTGGTGCTGACTGCCCACCCACAGAGTGCCCACTGCTGAGTTCCTGTCACAGAGATCTGACTGATACAGTCCTCTATCACTGTATCTTCCACCTGACATTTCTCCATGCTACTTCCTCCATTGTGCAAGCCCATTGTCACCTCTCATTTTTTTTTCTGATCTTCCAAGATAGCTATATTGCAGCCAACTCCATTCTGAGATACAGCTGCCTCTTCCTTGAAACCTTCCTTGTAACTGCTCCATGCCATGATTTCACCCCAATCCTGCCTGCCGGGGAGCCTCAAAACCATCAGTCAATTCCCATTCTTCCCAACCTCCATGGCACTTACCAAACTTATGTTATATTAAAGCTATTTTTATTATGCTTAGCTCATTTCCAACATAGTGCAACATCCTAAAAAGCAAGAGCCAGGTCATTTCACATTTGTAATTTCCTAAGTCACATGGCCTCAAGTATGCTTTCATACAGAAAAAATGTGTTTTCTAAAATAAAATATAAGTTTTGTTCCATCCTCTGGCCTTTCCTCTTTGTTCCTCAAAACCCCCTCTTCTTTACTGAAATGTAATTACTAAGTCTTTCTGCATCTTAGCTTATACTGATTGTCCAACAGAGAAATAAAAAGCTCCACCAAAACAACAATCCAATAAGCAAACAAAAACAGTCTCTTTTCTCTTTCTGTAAGTCACATGCTTCTTCCCAAGTGTCTTGTATCTCATTTCTCTGTGAGGCATTTCCTGGTCTAACCTTATGATATTTAGCTGCTTTCTCATTTGACATTTCTTCTCTTCTACTCACAGGTATGCTTTGTACCAGCCAGTCTTCCCTACGCCCCTTTGATCTCTGAGCAGAGTAGGCATAGGTAGATTAAGAAAAAAATACTCCATGAAGTACTAATGTGCTAAGAATTTTAGTTATTTTTATTTGGTTTTTTTAAATTTTTTGCTTTGTTTTGTTTTTAATGGTGATGATAAACTTGCATTAATACATTCATAATGTCCCATACTGTTTCCATAGTTAGTGAATTTGCAAAATAGCCAGGTAGAAGTAAGGTTGCATGCTTTGCTAATGGGTAGGGAAAGTCAACTGGCCCATAAGAAAACAAGAAACAAATAATGTTGTTATCATCCAAAGTTGGCAAAAGGGAGACCATGTTCTCCACAAAGAAAGATTTTCATCCATTAATGAAACACCTGTTTTATGTATTTCACAGAAGCCCCAATTGCAAACGACAGGCAACCCACTAAGTTTTGTATCTGTGTATGTACTTATCAGAGATTCAGATATATATAATCTTTTTATTTATTGTGCTGATGTGATACAAACATAAACATCAGATATTATTATCTATCCTTCATAGACGCTAATGAATTGGTTACTATCAGTGGTATTACTAAGGCTGTATGGATCAAAACCAATATTATGATTTTTTTCTTCATGCTCTGTGCACAGCCCACACAGGCAGAGAAATGAGGGGACCTTTACAAAGAGTA